AGAGCAGCGTGAAATTGATAAACAGATTTCGGAACGGTTAGATAAACAAAGGATATGCCTTTATCCATTTTTTTGTTTCGATGGACATCGAAACATACTTTCGTTTTCGTAGATCCTTTGGGAGCTTCAACATCGGAAATTCTATTTGACATAATCGAAAGTTCAAACTTACTTTATAAAATTGCTCTTACAGTCTGCAAAAATAATAAGACGGATCCAATTCGAAGATTAAGGAACAACGCAATCATCAACATTAACTGAAATAGATAATTAGATAATTTTAGCTTATACCGTCCGTTATACATTAAACGCACAGCGAAAACGTATTCTGCGCTTGTGCACACGCAAATGCGCAGTCGTAAAGGTCTTACGCGCACGCTTAAACGCCTATGCGCATGCATCAAAGCGGCGCATGCGCAGAAAGTTTTTAGCTTTGAGGTCCGAATTATAGATCATTACGGATTATGGGTGTCCGAATTAACGACTTTTGACTGTATAATCGAAAATTCAAGCTTAGATTTTATAAAATTGCCGTAATAATAACAGTCTGCGAAAAATAATAAGCTCGATCAAACTAAAAGTTTAGTGAGCAGTGCAGTCTGCTACATTAAATGAAATGCCTTAGAATCAGTAAAGATAATTTTAGCCTAGCTTAATAGCATCCGTGATACATCATTGACTGTGTATCACAAAATTGGCGACGAAAGCTAAGTTGTTTCACTGAAATTGTCATCTTGTTTCCTATTGGATACTGAATTAATCATGAATTGTATTAGTTATTTACTATACCCTACGTTTATTTCTTACACATGCTTAAAACTAATCTGAGTCCTGAATAAATAAACTCCCACATATACTTAAGGCTTTATCTAGGGCTGGTGCTAAATACAGCATGGTGCAGTCTCCACGGGTCCTAAATTCTGCTACAAAGCACCTTCCTAAGTTCTAAATTTTCACCGCTCCTAAACTTTGCATCCCAGTGCTTTCCCTAAATCATAAAAAACTTCTCATCCCTTAATTTTACTGCTCGGTGCTTTCCCAAATTCCAAAAATTTACTCTTCCCTAAATTCTGCCGTCCGGTGCCGAAATATTTTGCTGCCGCTTCTGGGTTTATGGTGAATAACATATCAGTTATTCTTAATTAAAATAGTGAGTTTCATTAACAAAATCTATTTTTAGTATATGAAAAGAAATTTTTATTGAATTTTTGCCTTGTCAACATTTATTAAAGCATTTAAATCAATCTAAAATCATCGCCAAGTGTAATATTAGCATAAAAGGTTGCCATACTCTTGTTATTCAATTACTAATATAAAAAAAAGTTTAAATATCATTGCATAAGTTATTACTGAAGCTGTCATGTATTGATAAACATGCGGTGATGAAAGCATAATATAATAAATAATGACTCACCAGGTCGGTGTAAGGAATATAAAATAGGTGAATGTTTCGGTAAGCATGGCGAACAGCGGTAAACGGAACAGAACGTTTGAGATGTATGCCAAGCAGATACTTAGCTACAGAGACAAATTATTAATCTCGTAAATTTATGCTTACATGATTGTTTTTTCATAACAAGGTATTTTATTTAGTGCCTAAATGAATTTAAGAATCGAAATTTTTAAATGAAAATCTCCACATGTTTTATTATGGAAGAAAAAATCAAATGCGCATGCATAAAGCATACCAAAAAAAAAAGTGTTTGTGGCTTTGAGGTCTGGATTTTAGATCATTCCGGATAATGGACGTCCGGATTTCGGACTTTGTACTGTATTGGATTATCAATATAAAAGACCTAAAACCTTTCTTTCATATTATTTTTGAGTTTATATCACTGAATACAATCAGATTCTGCAAACAGATGGCATCATAGGGATAACAACATGATAAATAGATAATAATTATAATACATACGTTGACAGAAAAAAAAATCCCAACACCTAGAAGGATAGAAAGTGTTGTGCTAGATAAACCTTAACTTGTAGGCATGGTTACACATCTGAAAGATGATGTCTATTCAAATTTTGTGCTAGGCGCATAACTATTAGTGCCACTATGAACATGCAAATCAGATTTGCTTTAAATACACATTGTAAAAATCGTGAGCACTATTTATTGAGATCTGATGTAGGGACTTGATGCTAATCAGGAATGCCTTTAAGAAGACAAAGAAGCCATTAACAACAGCTTAGTGAGTTTGAACAAGGTTGTGCAACAGGCCTATGAAAAGGTGAATTTTTTTTTTTCCTTGATATTGCAGAAAGACTTGGCAGGAATGTATTCACTGTGTATGATTGTTGGCAACATAGGTCAAGAGAAGGTACTGGCTCAAGAAAACCAAAGTTCTAGATGGCCACATGGCACTACTAAGAGGGAAGACCACTGTGTTTGCATATGGTTGTGAAGCATCGTACTGTATCTGCAGGAGAAATTCGAGTTACTGTTGGCCCCACAGTGAAACAATGAACTGTTACAAATTGGTTACTTGAAGGATAGTTCCATGCAGACGTCATGTAACATGCATTCCAGTGGCTTCAAGCTGTCAAGCTACAGCTCATTGCAGGATGTGGTGGAGATCTGTTGTGTTTTTTGATGAAAGACAATTCTGCATTGGGACCAGTGATAGCCATGTGTTGGTTATAAGGAGGCCAGTTGAGCAACTACAACCAAATTGTCTATGATCTAGACTCACTTGATCTGCACCTCGAGTTATGGTTTGAGGAGCAATTTCATATGACAGCAGGAGCACTCTTGTGATTATTCCCCACAGCCTGACTAGAAATTTGTATGTCAGTTTGGTGATTCATGTTCTACTACCATTCTTGAACAGCATTCAAGGGGGTATTTTCCAACAAGATAATGCTTGCCCTCATACCACTGTTGTAACCCAACATGCTCTATAGAGTGTTAACTTGTTTCCTTGGCTGCTAGATAACCAGATCTTTCTCCAATAGAGCATGTATGAGACATCACTGGAGGATAACTCCAATGCCATCCACAAACAGCATTAACTGTCCCTGTACTGACGAACCAAATGTAACAGGTATGGAACTCTATCCCACAAACTAACATCTGGCTCCTGCACAAAACAATACACAAAGATTTGCATGCTTGCATTCAAAATTCTGGTGGTTACACTGGTTATTAATGTACCAGCATTTTACACTTGAAATGGCTCTTCTTGTGTTTGCATTAATCCATGATCTTAAAAATGTAATCAATTACACACGTTATCTTGAAAAAATAATATATTGTTGAAATTTCATTACTCTACAATTGTTTCTTCTTGGTGCTGGGATTTCTGTCAGTGTAGATCAGGGATGGGCAAACATTTTTGGTCACGAGCCAAAAATCGGGGAAAATATATATATATATATATAGAGAGAGAGAGAGAGAGAAAGTGGGGGCCCAAGAAAGTGCCCCCCCAGTTTCTCTCTCTATTTTTTTTCCCCCGATTTTTGGCTCGCGACCAAAAATGTTTGCCCATCCCTGATCTACACTGACAGAAATCCCAGCACCAAGAAGAAACAATTGTAGAGTAATGAAATTTCAACAATATATTATTTTTTCAAGATAACGTGTTTAATTGATTACATTTTTAAGATCATGGATTAATGCAAGTGGGATCATGGATTAATGCAAGCCCTTTCTTGGGGGCCCGCCAAAATTAAAATATAGTACAGTCAAAAGTCTTTAATCCGGACTCGTCGGGACTTCGGTGATTCCGGATTATCGATTTTTCCGGATTATAGATCATCAGTTTAAATCTGGTAAGATGGCATGCAGAAATTATAAAATTAAAAATATGAAACCGTAATTTATAAAATAATGAGCAATTATGATCTAAAGGGTATCAAAATTTACAAAAAAAAAAAAAAAAAAAAAAAAAAAAGCTTAATATTTTATTTGTTTACTTTATTAAACATTTCTTTCAACGCGCGCATGCGTAAAGCATACATTATGCATAGCCGAAATTAGAAAATTGCAACCAGGAAAACTATTTGATTTGTATTCGTGATATTTATAATGACGAGGAATTTGATTTAAATCATATCAAAGACGGAAGTACATCGAGATGAAATACTACATTTAGTAAGGAATTATAAGCCGAATAAAATAAAAACATCTGCCCTGAAGATAAGGATAGTGTCGACAGATCAACTTCCAATTCATTGCGCGCCGCCACGTTCCCCCCCCCCCCGCACAGAGCAGCGTGAAATTGATAAACCAGATTTCGGAATGGTTAGATAAACAAAGGATATGCCTTTATCCATTTTTTGCAGCAATTCCATTTTTGATGGACATCGAAACATACTTTCGCTTTGTAGATCCTTTGGGAGCTCCACATCGGAAATTCTATTTGACATAATCGAAAGTTCAAGCTTACTTTTTATAAAATTGCTCTAACAGTCTGCAAAAAATAATAAGCCGGATCCAATTCGAAGATTAAGGAACAACGCAATCTGCAACATTAACTGAAATAGATAATTAGATAATTTTAGCTTTATACCGTCCGTTATACATTAAACGCGCAGCGTAAACGTATTATGCGCTTGTGCACACGCAAATGCGCAGTCGTAAAGGTCTTACGCGCACGCTTAACGCCTATAACGCATGCATCAAAGCAGCGCGCATGCGCAGAAAGTTTGTAGCTTTGAGGTCCGGATTATAGATCATTCCGGATTATGGGTGTCCGAATTAACGACTTTTGACTGTATAAATAATATTAAAATATATTATAACAGACTTATAAAGAGCCTGTTATCTGAAATAGCTTTGGGCCTTATTAAGTCTGCATCTGGCTCGGACTGCCAGTCTACTTCTGAAATAAATCTGTCTAAGATTCATCTAGACACACTTGATCTGCACCTCGAGTTATGGTTTGAGAAGAAACTGGAATAGAAAAATATACTCGAATAGCTGAAAACACTCGTTCACATGATGAAGCAAACATAGTACATATTTTCTGGGTGTGCGATATTAAATTTGGGAAACTTACTTTTGATAATGATTTGGAAAACTCTAACTTTAGCATATTTAGAAACAACTGCTTGAGATAATTGCTAGTTTGGAACTCAGTTAATTCAAGTTGTAAATCTGACCACACTGCTTCACAGTTCACATTGAAAAGCATGGAAAAAATATCCAATTCTGTTTGAATGGCACTGAAATCTGGGGAACAGCTTTAGTATTGGTCCTTTTGGCGATTTCTTGATTTGGTGACAAACTTTGGTCGTTAATGTATACCCGGCTTTGAAGATCGGAAAAAAATGGCGATTGCCAACAAAACCGATCTAGACTACATAACAATCCCCAAAAATAAGCTCTTAATCAGAATTTTCAACATTTCAACAGGTCTTTCTCTAATTTTCAACATTTCTAGTACTGCTATGATAAATTCTTGAAACACTACCGTAAATGAATTTATGGCAGTGATTATGTTATGAGTAATGAAATTTCCAAAAGGTTAATATTTTAATTTACGAAAGATAATGTTTTAAGTAGTTAGTTAATATTTATATTATATTAGTACTTAGCTAATATTTTAAATTTACAAAAGGTTAATTTTTATGTTATGAATAATGAAAATTTACAAAAGGTTTAACAAATGCATTTCAAACTAGTATATATGTTTACTTTAGTTTCTTAGTTTCTGTTATTAAAAGAAAATAAAAAAATATTTCAAAGTGAAGGAAATCAAATTAAATTTACTGAGTAAAATTTTACCAGCGTTACAAATACTTTTTATGATTAAACTTGTAAAGGTAAATGTTAAGAAGTGTTGTATTTTTAATATTTT